GTGGAAAGCGCCGGGGCAGCCGCGCGAGCGCTTTAATCAGAACAGTGGGGCAAGCATTGTCCAAACTAAATAGATTTATCGGCTAAAAGATTTTTCAAATATCAACAAAATATGTGTAGATAGAATAATTGTATAGATAAGGGGGCGGGAAAGTAGCGTGGATTAGTTACTTTTCAAAACTGGGCCAAAAGTAAACAAATTAAGTAAAACATTAAAATGATGAATAAAGGGATGAGTGTGTAAATGGCCTACTTAATCAAAATTAAAATAAGAGTTGTAAACTATGTGTATTTTCATATTGAGAAAAAAAATGATGTAGTTAGTATAGCATATTATAGTTTTTTTTTAAGTTTATGACTAGTGAATTTAAAAGAAAAACACAAACATACATAAATTTTGTTTCCAGCCTTGGTTCGTGTTCCATTTAGCAACCTAAAATTAAATAGTTTTTTATAAGAATATTATATTTAATCGACTAAAATATATAAAATATTCGTCAAATATTTTAAACCAATTTTAAATCGATATGCAATTAATATATTTATCTAATTATTACTTTTATTAATCATCTAAAATTTTTGCTATTAAATATTTATTTACCAATTAAATTGTATTCTTTGCCAATTAATTTAAATTGAAAATTATATAATTTAGTTTAATAATATTCTTATAAATTGACTAAAATAGCTAAAAATTCTTTAAGCATTATTCGCACATATATTTTTGCTAGTTAATAGAGCGAAATTATTCAAATATAGAAAACTTTTGGCTTTAAGTTCATAAATTGTAAAATGTCAAATACACACTATGTTTTAAAATATTAGCTAATAATATTGAATAAGTGATACATTTTGTATAAGTAGCTCGAAAATCGTTTAGTTATCGCATGGCTTGTAACCAGTGTGCGGCGCATCTAAAACTATGCAAAGTTTATGCGAATCTAAAATATTTGCGCTGCACATGCGCATGCACTGCTTGCTCAATTGTTCAGATACATTTATATCTTAAATGCAGGCAAAACTGGGCGCTGCTTCGGCTGCGGCTGCTGCTGCACCCGCCGGCCCGAGTCACATTTGTAGTTGTAGTTAAAGTTGGGAGTCAGAGTCGAAAGTCGGATAGCGTCTGGGGCTAAACCGTTTGCCGGCTGCTGCCCGATGCCTGATGCTATCAATTCAAAGTCAAATGGGGGGACAACAAAACAAATCGGCGCTGCATCTATAATGAGCCCAGGCCCGGCTATGAACCAGGCCGGGGCTAAGTTGCAGCCCGAATCTCAAATGTTGGCCATATGGCTTTCGGGCCTGGGCCATGTATTCTTTCTGACTTGAGCATGTGCTCATTGAGTTGTTGTTGCTGCCGCTTGCTGTTGCTTCCCTTCTTATTGTTGTTGTTGTTACTTTTGTTGTTGCACGATGTCTGACTAGGGACACCCACCCAATGCACACACACACACACACACACATACCAATATACCCACACACGCAATGTTGTGCGTTGCCCCGAAGGAAAACGCCATCCAAGTCCAAGTTGTAGTCCGAGTTGCAGTCGAATTATTTCAGCTTACCTTAGCGCTAAACCAAGTGAGTGTTTTGCTCTCTCTCCTTCTACCTCCCTCCCTACATTTCTCTCACTCTCGCCCTTCTCTCACTCTCTTTGTTGACTGCCGCACAATTGAATCGCCCCGGCCCATAAATGTCTTTATTATAAGCCAAGTGCTTTTGGCCAATTTGTTGCCACAACTGCCGCAATACAGAAATAGTTGCCTCCTCTCGCTCTTCATATTGAACTTGCCAATCGATGTCAAATTCGCTTAACACTTAAAAAAATGCCAATGGATGTTGGACAGGAAAACCGCAAGTAAAGAATTTACGAATTTCAATCTATTTGAACTAGTTGAGAATTTCTCCGAAGATTCTTTACGCTAACAATTGGCAAATCTTAAAAAATGTGATAAATAAGCAGCTGCTTTTAAGAATTAATGAATATTTTGACAAATTCTTTTAAAACAACAGAAGTTGAAATGGACAGAGTGTACTCGTGTACAAAATTTTACTCGAATTTATATTCTCGTATAATTTGCTGATTGTCATATAGAGATACGCTTTATTTAAGTAAATCATATTTTTCATACATTTTACACTCATAGAAAATCTGTAGCTATTCTCAACAGTTGATAGAATATTTCTTAATAGCATCAACACAATAATTAATAATATCCTTAGTTCTTCATTTAAATAAATATTTTCTACAAATTTTCAAATATTTCAAGAGCGTTCGAGTTTGTCGAGCTTATATTTGTAGATATTTAATTGATTTGGTACAGTTCTCAGTAAAAGATATACATGTATATATATCGAGTCTTAAATAGCTTCATTTTGACCTCAATTCGGTGCGGCTTATGATCATCCATCAGACAGCCAGCCGCAAGTCTCGTTGCGATGCCTTCGGAGTTGCATTCAATAACTGTGCCAAAGTGCAAAACGCGCAACACCCACAAAACACCCAATTTTAGACACCAACAACAAACTTGGCCATTAAATTGCTGATGCAGCGAATGCAGGCAACAATTTCTTTAAACACAGAGCCCGGTCAACCAACTGGCAACTGGCAACTGGCAACTGGCAGCAGCAGCAGCAGTAATAGAAAAGGATTCAACTTCATTGAACACCCGAATTTGCAATTTTCGAGTTAGGCTTCGCTTTGGCCAGCCCAGAAATGGTGGGCGAGCAAATTATAGCCTTGCTTCACAGCTTCACAGACGGAGCTACGAACTGGCCAAATCCCAAAGTTTTGGGGCCAACGTCATCGTCGGCGGCGTCTCTTTAGCACTTAACACGTCAACAGACGACGCTCGTCAGCTTTTCTTTTTGTTTCCTTTTTTTGGCTAGTTCCCATCGATCCAAAACTAGTATCAAAATGGAAACAATGTTGCGGTATTTTCCCTTAACTGACATGATTACCTGCCGCCGCTGGACGTACATGTGTGTGTGGATGTGTGTGTGTGTGTGTGTGTGTGTGTGTATGTGTGCCCATATATATAGTTAGTTAGATGAATGGATAGACAGATCCATAGATAAGATTGAACATGATTGTGCCCGTTGCGGGCACTTGCTCGCCGTGCCTGCCTATCGATTATTATCCATTTTGGCAGAAATCGATCGTGATCGATTTAGGGCTGTTGCTGCTGCTGCCATGGCGACGAGGACGAGGACGACGACGACGACGCACGCTGCACCAGCAATTGCAAAAGGTTAAGTGCCACAAAATGTCTTGAAAATCTTGTCCAGCTGTCCCGTTGCCGGCAGCATGCGTCTGTGCTGTGAACGAGACCAAATGCAGACCCTGCCCCAGCCTCGCTCCACAAATATTCACATTCACCGAGTTGTTAATGTGGCAACAGCAACAACTGAACGCCTGTGGGCATGGCACAACCGCACATATACCACGTAGTTGCCTTGCAAGTGGCAACAGTTGGGGGCAGGCAAATATATATACATATATACACCATAGACGGTTTACCATCCATGCTGATCCTATGTTGTGTGCACATCCTACGCTTAGTTCCGCATCGGTGCGTCACTAATCGCTAGTTGTTACCTTTGGGCATTCCGATATTGTTTTTCTATTTCTCACTTTTTTTTTAATGTTTATTAAATCAAAAATATCTTATATTTTTATTACAACACAGTTGACTCAGGTGATATTTCGCCAAGCCTGGTTGGGTCCTTAGGCGTTATTTCATATTTCTAAATTCTAAGCTCGGTTACTCAAGATCTATGAAAAAGTATAATACATTTTTCAAGTATAATTTTATCTTGTTTTGGGCATTAAGTTATTTCACTTTTCAACAGGGCTAACGACTTCCGTTAAGTGTCGCCGCTTTTGCTAATAAGCTCTGCGGCAAATTATCGATTTGGTTGTTATTATTCCCTGAACCCATTAAAAATGGGTATAAGGCTATATTGTATTTGTGCGAAATCCAAATGTATGTAACAAACAGAAGGAAGCATCTCCGACCCTATAAAGTATATATATTCTTGATCAGCATCAATAGCCGAGTCGATCTAGCCATGTCCGTCGGTCTGTCTGTCCGTCCGTCCGTCCGTATGTATGAACGCAAGGATCTCAGAACCTATAAAAGCTAAAGAAAGAAATTTTAGATGTAGGTGCTCCTAGTACCCGCGCAGACCGAGTTTGTTTCCGATAATCGATAACTTACTCCGTTTCCAAGCAATCGATAAGAATCGATATCGATATCCTGTTTTTCGGGCAATTTTGGTAAATAATAAGAGCTACAGTCAGCAAACTTGACAAATGCATTTGATGTTGGAAGAAGAGGGTTCAGGGTGTCCCCTAGTCGGGAGCTCCCGACTAGAACCTCATACTTGTTGTTATTGTTATCGAGGTTTAACTTGCAGAAGCATAAATGTATAAATATTTAAGAGGATCAATTTGAGATGTTTTTCGTTTTGAACATTTAACTAACAATATCCAGATTTTGATTAAGCTAAACAACACATATTATTATATATAATTATTTGATGAATAAACATTTATTTCAGCAGCGAAAAATTGAAAGAACTTGACATATGTATCCAATACAGCAGTTAATTTTTTGACAGAGCTCAAATAATGAGTTTCCTCTACAACTTGCATTTTAAGTGTCGAAGGTGCTACCCAAAACCTGAAGTGAGAAAAATAAGCCTTTAATATTATATAAATGTGCATATTGAAAATCATTTTAAAGAGAGAGAGAGAGAGAGAGAGAGAGAGAGAGAGAGAGAGAGAGAGAGAGAGAGAGAGAGAGAGAGAGAGAGAGAGCGAGAGAGAGAGAGAGCGAGAGAGTGAGAGAGAGAGAGATCTGCTTGCTGCAGCCAGGAAATATTTTTTAAATCTATCTGATTTCTAATCTAAACACAAATCACACTGATCGTCCGAAAGAAACAAGGCTGGCTTTGATTTTAAGAACTAGTTGAAAAATTTGTGCTACACGGACAGTTTGTCGATTTGACATCCTGGTATTTGAAACATTCTGAACAATTGTGTATAATTTTAATCGTATCGACGTGATTGCATTTGGAAAATTTTCCGTTTTAATGTCAAAGTTATTGTGAAAATAAACAGAAGCAGACAAATATTTGCCGGAAAGTGCAAGATTTGAGGAAAAGCCAGGGAATTGTTATATTTATTCATTAACATGCCTGTCGAGGAGAAAGTATATTTCGAGGAACAGCCTGGACGGAAGTTCGATCGCTGTCTGGCCAATGGCATTGTAAAGGGCGGCGGCGGCTTCGTCGTGGGAGCTGTTATATCTTTATTGTTTCTCCGTCGGCGCGTATGGCCGATATTGATTGGCACTGGATTTGGCATTGGGGTTGCCTATAAGACATGCGAAAAGGATTTGGAATCGTTCAAGTAAACGATGCAGTAGCTGAGCCAAATTATACATGAATACACTTACACATATCTATATACATAAATATATTTATATATATGTATATATATATATTGAAATGTGTATATATATATATATGCTTCTCAATGTCTGTACTCCTAACCATCTAAGTTTTATGTTGTAGCTGTTGCTTGTTGGACTGCCAATTAAAATACAATAAAAATTCATTCAATTCCAATGAAAATGATGCACTTTTATCACAAAATGGGAAATCTGCAAATCGGGGCATGACTAGAAGCAATCAGTACGAGTTCCATGTAAAACAGTATCAACAAGATCCAAAGAGAGCCAGAGCGGGAGACACAGGGTGTGAGAGAGAGGGAGAGCCAGAGCCAGAGCCAGAGCATGGGGCAAGTTAAAAATCTTTTGCCGGGTCAGCAACAAAGTCAAGTGCAGCGAGACGTGGCAAGCTATGGTGAGGTGCCTTCGATTTCGCCTGCGCCTGGCACTCGGGGAGCTCACGTTTCGGCTGCAGTAGCCGCCTCATGTTGCATGCAACCTGGTGCCGAGGCTCGTTTGCCCGTCACATAATCTGCTCCAAATCAAAATTGCTTATTAAACGTGGAGCTGTGGATAGCTGCAGCTCTTGCTACGGCCTACGGCCTACGGCCACTCTGTCTCTCTCGCTCTCTGTGCGTTGTGGGCGCCCGCAGCTGGCATTTCAACTGGCCATGGACATGGCTCTGGCTGGCTTTTGGACTGTGGACTTGCGTAGCGCCCAAAACGAATCTGTCGCCGTATCGCCAGTTGCAGTGTGCCTGGAAAATTGCTGCCGAATTCTGTTGCACAGTTGATCACGATTGCCTGGTTCGGGGCTCAATAAGCCAAACATCTTGATATGGATGCGGCGCTACAGGCTGCGCATTGATCGACGATGACGACGACGACGACGACGACGTGAAAAGCTGCCAATGAACCGATACCAGCCTCTGGCTGACAGTCTCTTTCTCTCTCTCTCTCCCTCTCTCTGTCTTTCTATCTCTTGGGCTCCTGCAGATCGGGCGTCTCTTTCTGGCACTGGCAATTTCTACGTTTGCCCTCTGAACCCGATTGCATTTTGTATATATTATAATTGCTAGCCATGGCTTAGCGCTATCTCTGAAGTCGCTGCCTGCCAGTGGCCTGGTCAGTCACTCAGTTAGTCGATGGCCATTCGAGATTGCCCGGCTTTGCTCCGCTGCCATTCGACGCGCTGCCCCTTTCATATCGCTGATCAATGCGCCGACTATGCTCCGATTCGGTGCATCGGATGGGGGGATGCGATGGGGTGATGCGATGCCACTTTCCAGGAAGCCGCAACAGCCTGCAACAGAACTTGTCGCATTAGCACCACGTTGTGTAGCTGAAATTAATGCGATTGCTGATTGCGATTGCATTTATGCTCTGAATAACGTATAACAGCCGCGATGGCCCTTGCCTGCAGGTTGCTAAGTAGTAGATGTGTGAAGAAGGCTGTCGAAAGGCGGTTCATTGATCTTCTCGACTTCTATAAATGCCGTTCGATCATTCAATGGTTAAATTTGTGCCAATCACATCCGCCGTCCTACTCCATGGAAGCCAAAACAGTGGCAATATATGCAAGCTAATAGATGTCGAGAGACATCGAAATATCAGAGTGCTTGCATGTATTTCTATTAATTATACAATATTTTGCATTATTAGCTAAATGTGTTTCTATATATTGATTATTTAATTGTTTTTTTTTGTCGTTTGTTTCTGTTTCCTGGAGCTTCTAAGGCAAAGTGCTGCCCATTACTCTAGCCAGTGCTGCCACCTTATATATTTCGAATGGCAAATGAGCTGGCGTTGCCCAAGTTCTATTTTGATAGGTTGATTTTGTGCTTTATCGAATGTTGTAAGAAATATATACAATTATTTGTTATTCTTCCGTATGTTCTAATAAATGCAGTAACTTTAAGTGGAACTTTCTCGATTAACGCTGCCTCGACCATTAGTTGCAAAGTTTATTTATTTGTTTGCTGCTTTTATTTTACAGCGCAGTATGCAGCTCCAGTTACCAGCCTGCAAAACGACGACGACAACATGTGTTTGATTTTGATGGGTTGCCCGTTGCGCCGAGTGTCGCCGAGTTGGAGTCATCTCCATGGCAAATAGCAAACGATCTTGACAAAAAAGCGCAAGCAGTTACAAGAGCTAAGCAAAAGGAACAAAAAATTGAAAGGAAAGGTTCCCAAGAAAATTTAGATCAATTTTCCTAATTTACTTGAGCGCAGCGATTGCGTGTCGTGGCGTGAAAAACGGCACTTGAAAATTCCTACAGCGCTGTAAAGGAATCGGAGTTGCAGCTCGACTGCCGGAAGGGAGTTGGAGGAGGAAGCTTGGCAGCGAAACAAAAAATGAGAAACAAAAATCAAGAAAACTAAGGAAGAAGAGGAAAAAAAAAAATAAATCACGACTCAAGTTTCGAAAGCGCGAAACTGTTACCAAAGCACTTAAACTTAAATTGGCCAGCGACGACGACGACGACGACTAAGGTAACATAGTAAACTGAGCCACAGATCCACAAAGTCCGACTACGTACCGAACTGAACCGAACTGAACCGCACAGCTCAAGCAGAGGCAAAAGGCTAAATTAGAAATAGTGTAGATAGATACGCCAATAGAATTTATAGCGGCTGCGCGTAGCCTGCGTCGTCATGATCATGCGGCTGAAGCCACCTCGATCTCCACCAGCAGCATCACCACCTGCACCTCCACCTCCACCTCCATCTCCACCTCGAACACCGCAGCCAACACCAACACCAACAGCAGCACCAGCACCTCCACCACCTCCACCACCTGGTCCATCTTGGGCCTGGGCAGGTTAATTTTGGGCACGACGCGGCGGCCCAATGATGACGATGATGATGGCAACGCACGAAGCGGCCTGCCTTGGTCATTTACAACGTGCACGGACGCAGCTTAAGTTTAATGGAACCAATTGAAGATATTTTGTGGGCAAGTGATAAAGTTGTATGCCCAGTTGGTGGGTGCCGTGCCGGCTCCTGCTATGGTTCGATCTAGCTCCATCACCAGCACCAGAACCAGCTCCAGCTCCACACTGTGTGCTAGCAGGCGGAAGCGGCCTGCATTTTTCATCAACAGCTTGTGCATCAGCTGAGTCAGCGATGGCTTCACGAACCCATTAAATGATGCGTAAGCGTAAACGTGATCATGCGTTCGCCATGGCCTGGACCCTTGGGCTGGGGGGCTGACTGGTTGGCAGGCAGAAGCTGGCCAGCACACTAGATCACACGATCTTGATACACAAAAGGAACACAGCGAAGGATCGTGAAAATTACCAAGTCCGAGTTCGGCCGCAGCTCTTAAATGTTACCGAGTTATGCGAAAATTGCGGAAGAATTTCGTGCGGCGGCTGGTTACCAAGCTCCGACAGTTGCGACAGATAAACAGAACTTTTGATGGGCAGTTGGACGGCAAGGCAGAACATGGCGATCAGCTGTTTGCATTGCCAGCCAAATCAAACTACGCGAATGCATAGTAAAACAGGTAAGAGGTTCTAGTCGGGAGCTCCCGACTAGGGGATACCCTGAACCCTCTTCTTCCAACATCAAATGCATATACATATTCTATTTTAGAAGCTATATGTCAAGTTTGGTGACTAGCTCTTATTATTTACCAAAATTGCCCAAAAAACAGGATATCGATATCGATTTTTATCGATTGCTTGGAAACGGAGTAAGTTATCGATTATCGGAAACTCGATCTGCGCGGGAACAAGGAGCATCTACATCTAAAATTTCAAGTCTCTAGCTCTTATAGAGAGATCCTTGCGTTCATACATACGGAAGGACGGACGGACGGACGGAAAGACAGACGGACTTGGCTAGATCGACTCGGCTATTGGTGCTGATCAAGAATATATATACCTTATGGGGTCGGAGATGCTTCCCTCTGCCTGTTACATACATTTGGATTTTGCACAAATACAATATACCCTTATACCAATTTTTAATGGGTTCAGTGTATAAAAATAGGTGGAATCACATAATCACTCAATACTCCTCTAACTGTAATATAAATAATGTTGCCAAATTATAAATTGGAGTCGCTTCTCGTTTTGATTTCGGCTCTCGGACGACTATCTATATACTCACGTCTTATAGTTGGTTATTAAAAGTCTCAAGGAATGACTTTGTTGTCAGACAGATATTGGAACAGCATGGAACATTTATTGGCTGCGTTCAAAACAAATGTGTAATAAATCAAAACAATTCGGAAAACTATTAACAATATTTCGAAGTGTTTCGGAATAAATCGAAGACGTTGGTAGGCTTTGGGATATGGAAATTGCTGCAATTGAATCGCAATATTTGGAATTTAATTAAATTAAATGCTCCAAACCATTCACCTAGGGCGTAATTAAGAGACCCACGAGCAGTGACAGTTTTCTAATCCAATATATTGCGATACGATCGATGCCCTACTCAAGTTTCAAGCTCGTTTTTGTTTGTCTTACTTTAAGCTTATAACTTTGTCGCTTCACTAATTTTCATTGAGTACTTAAACTTAATTACAAATGAGGCTTTTATGGTCCAATAAAGACACTGGGTAATCGATATTCTTTTTTTAATTGACTCTCAACAGGTTGAGGCACTGGTTCCTTGAGGACAGCTCGGATTGGCTTCTGGTGCATGTGAGAGGTGTATGCAAAATGCCTGACCTTACGCAAAAGCCATTTTGTGAGCTTGTGACGCTGTGACGCTTCGCTGTCGACGGCGACTTCGGCGTCGACGTTGGCAGAGCTGACGCTTCCGCTGCTGTCGCCAATCAATCAAACGGACGTCGACGTCTCCTCTGTTGTTGTTGTTGTTGCAGCTTTTATTTATTTTGGCTCATTTTTACGCTTTATGCACTGCGCACTGCGCCGCAATTTGCTGCCTGCCCCTTTCCTCGCTGCTTCTTGCTTTCTCGCTGTCTTCTTCACCGTGTTCGTCTTCTTCGTGCTCGTCTTGGCCTTCTGCTTGTTGCTTGTGCTGTGCGCTGTGGCCATTAAATTTGATACCCACTTATTTGGCCAATAAAATTAACCTACCTCAACTCGCTCGAACCCCGTTCAAGTGCTAGGGCCAACTTGGGTTCGGTTTGGCTTAATATGTGCCGTCATTTAACTGGCCCTCATATGTGTCTG